TAATGTTTATCATATACTTTTGTACAAAATGTAATTTTCTTTTATTTATACATATATATTACCTTAAAATGCTATTAAGATTTAATATTATTATTATTTATATAATTATATGATTCATATATATATAACGTTCATTGTATGTTAATAATCGAAATAGAGTTTTATATAATAATTTATTTTATTATAATAAAATAGATGGTATATACGATATGTTTATATATTATTACTTATATATCCGGAATGGTATAATGTAATAATAATTCTAACTAAGATAAATGTTGTTTAATATAATTTAATGGTCAAATTCACATATATTATATATAAAATATATGAATATAAAAAAGAAAGAAAGTCATTTAAAAAAAAAGTATGTTTTATGAATCAAATAAATGATGTATTTTGTGCTCAAGTCCTTCCATTTAGCTAAGCAGCTTACATGTAATTAAAATTTTCATACATTATTGTCATATATTGGGGGAAAACTAATTTACCTTGTAAAAAAAGATCATATGAATATTATAAATATCATTCTAAGAAAGGAAATCATTTTTCATCATTTATATTTGATAATTCAAACATACATTTTTACATAATCATATATAATAGAATAGTATGATATATATGTAAATGTCTTATTTCAGTGTCATTAAATTATTATATAAATGAGATGTCACTTTGTAAAAGAAAAAAAATTTTATTAACGCAAACTATTGAATATAAAAAAATGTAAATTTATGAAATGTATATATTTTATGTTTATTCATTCTACATGAACGAATTAATTATATTATTAACATTACCTATAATTTCTATTGAAGCATTATTAAATTATGTTCTCTAATGAATCTATATCTTTTTTATTATATTATAAGCACAATTTAATATTTATAAAAAAATATTAATAGAAATAAATTTAAAAGCATTCATATTCTCCTTTTTATGTTCAATTTAAATGGAACAACGTCTTGTAATTATATATTTATTTGTGTTACTGTGCATAATTATATAACATATTATATCCACTATTCCATGAATTATTTTCATATGTATCTCATGACTTCCTTGTATCACATTATTCATATGTATTTTTAAATACATCTCTTACCCTTTTTATAGCAGATTCAAAGTATGAACCATAAGGAGTGAAATAATAAAAGAAAACATGTTAAATTGAAAATATAATTTTTTTAATGATATTTATATTTTTTCTTAATCTATTTTAACAATTATTTTATAGAGTAAACATATATATTATTTAACTTATATAAAATAAGAAATACACATGTTAATAATAATATTATAACAGCAGGAATATAAGAGGAAATACTAATTTTTATCTTTGAAGAGAAGGTAATCTTTCGGATAAACTTATTTCATAGTCACTTATTGATTATAGATGATTAAATTTTTTCCTAATATTCATTATTTCTTTATTTAAATCAGAAGCACGCTTTGATTTATTAGAATTCATTAGGAGATTGTATATAATTGCACACCTGGCATAGCTCCATTTATTTTCAACACACTGAAATTAGAATTTTCTATACTATGGATTCCTATATTAATACCATATATACCTATGAGTGTTTATAATTCATCATAAGTATTATTTATTTGATTATTCACAAGAAAAACCTTTAAATAATTGACATTATAAGCTATACTGATGAATTTATCATAAATATTCTTTATCTCTCTATTATAAGTTCCATTATTTAGTTTATAGTTATGTAGACAATAATGCATATATATGAAAGGGTCTGATTGCAAAGATGAATTATTTGCTAATGTAAATATTTTATAGAAATATCACATAGCTTCATAAAATATATAAACAGCATTTGTTTTAAAAATATTACAAATTCCTCCTTTAATTTGCATTCAGGCATTCTTCCAAGTTTCTTTGTTGTTAAGAAAATTATTCATGGCACTATCACATTCTGTAATTAATGAATATAAAGATACAGACTAAAAAAAAAAAAGTAATAATATTACAAAAAACATATCCTTATGAACCAATTTATATAAAAATAATGGAAATTGATATGTACTTTTATTATAATATTGCAATAGATATGATAATAATTTTATCCTAAAATAGATTTTGCCTTATTGAGTATGATTATATGCTTTTTCAAATTAATCTAATAAAATATTGTTGCTTACTAGCACATAACTTACTAATTTTAAAAAGAATCGTACATGGTACTAGAAAATATTATTTTCTGATTATTAAAATTATACAATTGATGGAAAAAAGAAAAATGAAATGTAAGAGTCATTAATTTTTATTCAAACTATAATATGGTACTATTTGTGATATGTAGTATGTTTTATTAATCATATTAAGGAATATATGAAAAACATAAACATAATGCTTAGTTAAAAAGAAAATAGAATTCTTTGTTGAAATTACGCATAAAAGCATGGTGAATATATAAGGGTTAAGAGTTCATGATTTTAGTTTTGACAATTAGTTTTTTCTTTTTATGTATTTCCTGCATATTTTAATTTTTGTATATTATTTATTCAAGTGTATACATAATATTAAATATATCACAAGGTATTATTTATATAATTATATTTTGAAAATAAAAAACGTGTCACTTTTTATTATTACTGGGAATATACAATTATATTATTTTTCTAAAATTTATAAAAATAAAATAAACATCATTAACTTTGGTAATTAAAATATACATTTTATTATTATAGAGTATGGGGTTCTTTTATAAATGTATTGAATATTACATTAAGATTAAGATTACAGATCCTTTTCATATAAAAATCAGTATATTTATTTTTATTATCTTTGTCTCAAATTTTATTTAAAGCCTGTACCAGATGTTAATTTTTGATTTCTTTTAAGCGTTTTATTCATTATTGTATTCTTATAATATTTTAATAAATTTTATTTATTATATTTGTTACACTTATTTTCTTCTATTACATATGAATAAAAATGTTTACTTTTAATTATATAAATATTCATTAAAATAATTAAGTTCTTTTTATTTAATTATAAACACATATTTTTCAATCGATTAATAAATATAATTATTGATACAATTATATAATAATATTTAATAATTATGCTATTATAAATAGGTTATGTATTATCAATCTATTATTTTTCATGATTATATTTAAATTATATATTTAAAATTTTTATTATGCTCATACTAGAATAAATTAAAATTATATAAATGTGCAAAGACATTAGTATATTATTATTATGGAATTATTGTTTCATAATATAGAAGTATATCATATTTTTTGATGTTTTTCTAATATTAATAATATAATTAATACTTAAATTATATGCTAATTCTTAATGTCTCATTTCTAATTATTTTTCAGAAAACACTTACTAGAAAATTGTTCATAAGTATCAAATAGGATGAAATCATATTACACGTGAAGTTTAATATATACTTAGTTTGTAATGAAAACATAATTATAAAAGTAGAATTATATTTCAACGTTGGAATAATTTTAATACATTATATTAATGTATAATTCGTAACTCATGTATTTATCATATTTAATGTTTTGCATAAATGCTAAATTGTATTTAAATTATATTCTAACGTTGAAAAATATGATTTCATACTTTATTATTTCATTTTCATATATATTATTATATTTTTGATTTTGTTAAATATGGAATTATAACTAAGTATGATCGTTAATCATTATAATATATAAATAGTATATAAAAAAACATATAGTATATGGTAGATATATATTTTATAAAGCATTCAAGGTATGATATTTTAATATAATATAAAAAGAATATATGATTCCATGATATATATAATTTTTAAATAAACACCAGGGTACTATATAATATAATTAACAAAAAAATACTATTTTAAAATGTACAATACAGTGAAAATTCAAAAAATATAATATATAATTGCATAGGTTTATTTTTGTACAACATGTAAAAAAAATTAAAAATTTTACTTTATTATTATAAAACTAAATAATATCTTATTTTTTTACTATCCTTTATATTTTCCTTAATTAATATGAAAATTATTGTTAACTTGCAAAAATAATACCCATTTTTTTGGACAAATTATTTTTGCATTTTTTCAATTATTTGCTGAAAGGCCTTGGAGAGCTATACTCTAATTAAAAAATAGTATTTAATGATTATCAATGGAATAAATATATATATAACTAATTTAGATAATTAATAAAAAATTTTTACAATAATATATAATAATTATGAATCGTATTTTTTATTTTGGACTCCATTATAATTATGCATATATATTTTAATTTGTAATCATTCTACATATTTACATACACTAAATATATCCTAATTTTTATAGATATACATTGTTAGCAAGTACATATGTTTCGCAAAATATTATTGCGCTAATTATATTGTTTATTTCATTTCTTTTACCCTTTTTTTTTGTTTATATTATATTAGTTCGAAAAAAATATAAAATATCAACACAATACTTTCATGAGTTGCACATATATGATTTCGCCAAAAAGAAAGTATAACAATGATAATATTTTCAATATTATTTCAAACAAATAAATTATTATATATATGTATTTACAATCAGAAAAATGATATTCGAATATTATAGTATAATTTTCCTCTAACAGATAATATTTTGTTCTGTGAGATTTAGTGTGAGTTGAAAACACAATGCATGTATCTGTAAATCAATTATTATAGTGTACCATAATTTTAGTAAATAAGGATATGTTATATATGTATTTAATTTATTCTATTTTTATATTATATTTATGTTTATTCTTCCTTTTGTATTAATAATTCAAAATTGAATTTTCATATATTATGACATTTAACTAGGTATTATAGACATTCTTTATTATCTATTCAATATAATATCATATTAATATAATTATATTAATTTTTTACAACAAATTCAAATGTTATATTTTGTTTATTAATATAAAATAAATTGGATCCATTAACGAATATTACTTATTTATTGGTTTTTGCTAATTTAACTATATGCTATTTTATACATATCATCTAAAGAATTTTTGTATTCAAAATCAAATGTGTCCATAAGACCAAGGTTTTTCTTTTTATTTTTTTTCAACACCCTCCTTAATTTCCTTACCCTTGGTTTTAAAAACGAAAAATGAGGAGTATACTGAATAAAAAATAAAATAATATCTTTATTTATTGTTTATTTATATTATATGTATATTTTAAAAATATTTCTATGATAAATTATAATACAACATAAATTTGTTATATTTATTTTGTTTTTAACTTTATACAAAATAAACGTAATTATTAATATAGAAAAAGATATATAAATAGTTCCAATACTTATTCCTGTGTTTGATATATCATCTATCACATGGCTCATTGAAATTTGTTCATCTAATGTTTGCATTTGCAAATTTCCTGTAATTCTTACATCTTCTGCCCTTTCCTCTTTCAATGTTTCATTACCTAATATTTCTATTTTCCTTGTTATTTCGCTTATCCAATTATCTTCTTTTAGAACCCCTGCGTCATGAACTTTTGGAAAAGACGTCCAAGAAGTTATATATCTTTGACATATTTCTATAATTTTTTGGAGTTCAGCCTTAAGTCGGATTTTATTTTTATAATGATAATTTACTAAGTCATTAATTTTACTTTTGAATTCTCTCACTTTTCCAGTGTTGCTCATATGGCGATTATTAAAAAGATCGATGTATGTATATATGTCAAACATATATGCCAATACTTTAAATGTATCTTGTTCAATATGTTCAGAATATTTTATACATATATCAGATATGTCTGTTCCAGAATAAATTGTATTTTGATCGATCATTTTCTGATAGCAGTCTTTAACTTTACTACATTTTATTAATGAAATTTTATCCATTATATCATTTTTCAGTCTATAATAAAATAATTTACAACATGATACTTTATTTAAACTGGACTTATTATTTTCTATATGCTTTAAATATATACCAAGAACTTTGCAATATTTAATAAAATTATAATCCAGAGTTTTAGCATCATTTACAGCATAATAAAAATTGTTACAAAGTCCTGTAAATTTTTCATCGTCATTAGATCTTTGTGAGTTTATATCCCAGTTGAAACCATTTGTGCATGTGTGGAACATACCACTAAAACTGAACTAAAAATAAACGTCATAAAATAGAGAAAAATTATAAAAATTTTAAGAATAAAATGTGACATTAATTCTTAATTAAATATGATATATTAGAATAATATATATAAATCCTAATTTTATTAAACATTTAAATCATACGTCTTCATCCTCTGATATAGTGTCACTCGTCATATTCTTTGTAATTTCTAAAGAAAAAAAAAATGTTCTACACTTCTTATAACAAATTTTTATTTGCTAAAAATATCAAGGAAAATCTAATTTTCATATCACATATAATAACATACATGATGTTATTTAATTCTACATATGTAACATGAAATTCACACTTTTATTAAATTCATTTTACATTTAAAACAGAGTATTATTCTTTCTAGGCAAGAAAATGTTATCTAAAAAACATATTATAATATAATAAAATATATTCATATAATTCGAAATATATAATAAAATATAAAAGAACACTATATACGTAATTACATTATATATAGAACAACTTTTATAATGTTTCTAATTCATATTATAATATAAATCCTATATATAATATAGTAAATAATTTTATAATAAATTATTTATTTTATGTTTTTAATTACATTGTAAAAATATATGCTCTCCTATATCTATAAAGTACATTAGTTCAAAAGACAAGTTTAATAAGCCATGCTTCTGCACATATTTTATTTGCTTATTTTTGTTTTAAATATTTTAATTTTGTTAATTATTAGCAAGTTATTAGGACTTAGATTATATTTTTATAAATAATATTAGTAACACAAGAATGTAATATATCTTATTTTATGCGAATTATATTAAATTAAAGTAATACTATTTCATAACAGTTTACAATTTATATATATATAAATATTAGTATATGGTACAGTGTAAACAATTATTTAAGTTCAGAATACATATATTTACATATAAATGTGATTTAAATTATATAATATTTTATTCATATAAATGTTACATTATGTATGAATATGAAAAATAATAAAAGCATATAATTTTATAATATATATCATACCCATATATTATTTTATAATGAATTAATGTTTTTTTCATTATATAATATAATGTTTAATAAAAAAATTTACTTATATACAATAACTCCTAGATGTTTGATATAGTGTATTTATTTATTTATTTTTTTTTTATATATATTTATTCAAGGTAAAATTATTCCATAATATATTATTATATTTTTTATTTTAATTTTTTCTTCATTTTATTAAGCTCAAAAATAATTTATGCCCAATAAGCCAAACAAATTATTTTTTTCGCGAAATTTTGTAAATGAAACGATAGTTATTCCTCTATATAAGCAAAAAAAAAAAAAAATATAATATAATATATGTATTAATGTTTTTATAACTATTTTCGCATATAATTTTCACAATATTATTTTCAGTCTGATATTATTACTATTTTGCTTTAATTATTTATTAATAATCCAAAATGTCTTATATTATTTATACTCCAATTAAATATTCTGTAAAGGAAGCTATAATAATTTGACGTAAATTTTACTTAATTTTTATATGAATAATATTTTTATAAAAATCATTTATTTATTATAAATATTTAAAAAAGATATATATATGCAATGTAGTAAATAAGTAAAGCTCAAATATCAAGAAATAATATATTTTCCTGTGTGTATACATAAATATAGTTATCATTGTTTTTATTGTATTACCATATAAGTGCTATATTATTTATTATATAAGTAACATAAGCATTAAATTTTCATTTAGATATTATTAAATAAATGTGCCTTTTCCAAAAATAATAAAATATTAGATAATTATTTTTTTAAATATTATATAAAAACATCATTAGTATATTAGTATAACAGTATTGACAATGTTTCGTGATTATGGTATTATTGTATAATATTAATTATATGTTGCAAATTAATATATATATAAAGTATGTATTCCTTTTTATCTACATATAACACTATATAATACATATTTTACACGTATATTTGATACATACTATTGATTTTCCATAATTAATACGCAACAAATTGAATGAAAATAGTATACAGTATTATATTAATATATATGCCTATTAATATAGAATTAATGCAATATATATTAAAAGATGAAAATAAATATGCTATTTTTTTATTCTATAAAATTTTTATTAAAAGATACATTTTCTAACAAATAAATATATATAATTCATTCATAAAATTATATTTTGCGATACTTATATTCTATCTATAAGAATAATCTAGGTGAATACATTATATATATATATATATATATTTGTCATTTATTTTTCTTTAAAATATTAATATATTTTTATTCCCACTATATTTCTCCATCTCTTTTTGTATATATTTTTATTATTATACGGAGCATTAAAAAAGCTAAACTGAATACCTAATTATAAATAATAACTTTTATTATATATGTTTTATTATAATATATCATAATACATATAAATTAAATATAATAGTATGAAACAAGTATGTGCCCTAAATATATTTATATACAGAATTATCGGTGTAAACGTAAGAAAAATTCTCAATATGTATAGGGAAATTGCTTAATACAGTTCAGTAAATAAAAAACTAAATATTCTTTAATATGAGATCCCTTTGAATTTAATATATATATAATTGTATATAAGACATAATATGTATGTGCATTATATTATTAATATTTATTAAAAAGATTCAATTTGATTTATCCTTATATATATAGAGTGTTAATATGAATTTTTAGAATTTTGGATAAATTCTATTTGTACATAAATATTCCTTATAATTCTGGCTGTATTTTATTTGTTGATAGAAATATTAACAAGGTAATTGTAATAAATTAAATATAAAATAGTGTTCTAAATACGTCAAAGATTTTAAATAATATATAATACATTTATATATATAATTCAGTGTTCTTCTAATCATTTGTTTGATATATTACCCTCATATTTTTAAATGCATAATTGTAGGTAAAAGCGAATAGATTACATGGATTTAAATTGATCGATTGATATATAGATTTTTAGGGTTTAGCATTATATATATAACTTTAAGACTTTTTAATTTTAGGATTTATTTTATATCTTTAAGTTTTTTTGTTTTAGATCATAGAGTTGGAATCATAATATCTATTTTATATATAATGATTACACATTATAATATATATATATTT